AGAAATTCAGTTCATTTGAAAGAATTCTGTCAGTTGAATCAGACGTGGCTGTTCAATAGAGACATCTGACAATGCGTTCCGTTGTCATACAGACAAGTGGGGCTTTTTTAAACTGCCACATTTTTGAATGGGGTTTGGTGAGATGTTCATGCGACTCATGTAAAACAGTAAACTAGCCAATTGAGGGAATTCTCCAAAAAGATAAATTCAGAATGATTAGTTTAGAACAACATTAAAAACTGCAAGCAAATTACATTATATATAGTTCTTACAGTTGTAGAGAGTGTGACACAGCATTTATCAATTTAATATTAAAGACATTTTAATTGGAAATTTGCAATGAAATCTGTTATTGGTCCCTGTTTTTATTTAACCTTTAATATCACAGCTCCTTCAGGGGAATGTTCACAAAACGAATTATTTTTATTTAGAAATTAAGTTTAACTTTGATTTACTAGATTGTTTCAACTACAAGACACTGACATGTCGACCCTTTATGTTAAAGTTAGAACAGATGGTGTTAGAAGTTGAAATTGTTGTTTTTGAATAGAAACACAACACTTCAAGTTCTTGTTTGGAACTTCTGTACTTGTAGGCTACTTCTTTTATTATTTTCAATAATATATTACTGTTAAGTATTTCAGTATTGTGCATATTGCCCTTTTTTACACCGATTGGCACTTTATATGGAATTATTTTAAACATTTGACTGATTGTGAAGCACTTTGAACTGTAAACCTGCCGACTAACGTGTGATGTAAAAGCAGCATCAGTTTGGCTCATGAGAACACGTGACACATGCTGCAGAGTTTCAGACAGTGGAAGATGAGTTTTTACTCTCAGGGTGATTGTACCAAATAATCAGCAATTATTGCCTCCACTAAAGAGGTTATTATTTCACTCTCTGTTCATTGGTGTGTTTGTCAGCAGGAATGGATTTTCATGAAACCTGGAGAAAGGGTGGAATATGAGCCAAGAAAGAACCAATGAAATACTACAGGGCCGATCCAGGTTTTTTTTTTTCTTTAACATTGCCAGATAGCTTTTTTTTTTGTCATTGATTTCCCAGGTAATAATTTGTGCATTTACATAAAAAGATTCAGGTACTTTGATGCAGATAATAAAAATCCAGAGCATGCGAATGTAACTGTGGTTTCATAAGGAGACCGTTGCGCTCCACTGAGTGCTATTCTAGTTTAGACATGAGTTAATGGGAAAATAATTAAAACTCTTATAGAGTTATAAACTGAAGAGCGTCTGATCTGTGTTAAGATGGCCTCTTGATTACAAAGTACATTTAGATGTTATAATGAGAAAAAGGCACAACAGGTGATTACCTCTCCGCATGAGGGGCCGACTCAAGGATGACCTTCTTTGTCTTTATATAAAAGGAATCTCAGTAATCGCAGTAATAAGGATTCATCAGTGTTTTGGTGATGAGCTCCTTTACGTTGTGAGCAGCAAAGTTTTAAATACGTTGTGATGATGTTTGAGACGTCGTAGTGGGTGTGAAGTGTCAGACATTGTTACAACAAAGCAGTCACGGCCAGGAGAGTGTCACGTCTCATCAGCTGACAGACAGAGAGCGGAGCAAGCTGAGGAATCATTTGTCTGATTGTGTGGCAGCAAGGAGCAGGACTCAGCCACACTAAAAACAAGCCCTGTGGTCAAATATCCATCGCTTGTTAATAATCCTTCCTATTTTTGACTCTGTGCCTTCTCTACAGTGCACATCAGCCAGCCTGCCATCACCTCTCAAACAACACAAGGAAAAAAGTGTTATCCTTGGAAAGAGAGTGACTTTCAGATGGAGTTTGTTGAGAAATATGAATGTATTCTCTTTTACTGCAAACATGATTTAATAACGCAAATGATTCAAGCCTCCTTTCATCACTCGTACGTCTGTCAGCTAGCACAAAGCATACGCAGTTCACAGTCATAATAGAGGAAGATGAAGTAGCTGAAATCCTTCATCTCACACAGAGGTAAACAAAAGCAGGCTAAACTTGATGGCTACATTTACTGTCTGTAATGTCTGTTTTCCTGCTGGATGAACAAAGACTAGATTTTTGGGTACAGATGCTAATAATGAGTAAAACATTTCCATGTGTGCATCAACACTCATGCATCCAGTAGGAACAAAACTGCAAGGCATGGACTGCACGATGGAGGAAAAGCTGATATTAAATGTTTGAGTGCAGCTTGGGCCACATTTTCCAAACACGTCTGAGCTGAGAGAAACTACACCTAACATGGATTCTGATTTTTGAGTCCAAACTCCACCCGAGCCTGATGCAGATAATGAAACTGAGACTTTGTTTCCCTGTTCTTCACACATTTGCTTCCTGCTCATTTCCCCATATTATAGACACCAGCCAACATCACTGACCCGGAATATCTTTTACCTGAATGTCAGCTTGCTTGGTATGTTCACACTCTAGTGTGTGTCAGAGTTCTCTGAATGATATGAGACAAGTTTACATAACACAAACATTTTTGTAACACATTTAGAGTCAAGTAGACGTTTCAGGCTGTGAGCTGAACTCGTTGGCAAATGCAGCGAAAAGCGAATGGCTTTCAGATATTTTACAATTTAACCTTAAGCTTTACTATGAATAACTGTAGAAAAAAAGAAAACACATATTCAACTGAATATATATAGAAGATTGACTGGCTTTGATCGCATAGTGAGTGATCAAAGCTGTCAATGAAAAAAAAAGGAAAAGAAACCACTCTGTTGAGTTCATTTGTTTCATTAGAAATGGTCTGCATCATTTCTACTCTGAAACTTTTTCTTTCAAAGGGGATTTGAGTGATTTCATGTTCCCTCTCTAATGTATTTATTCACTTGGAGCAGAAGGCCTGGCTTGTGCCAATCCCCCTGCTCTCCGGTTTGTGCGTAGTAAACAGGAGGTAGGTAAGTCTGGTGATTAAAGCGCTTTTCAGCAATCGAGAGGTTTTGGCCAAAGAAACAACAGTCAGAAGAGTGGAAAAGCTAGCACCCACCCATGTCTGGGCGGAAAGAGTGGTCTACAGAGCATGTAAAGATTCTCTCATGTCGAGAACGCAATGAAGAGGAAGAGAAAAAATGGTTTTTTTGACAAGTGCAAGTGTTTTAGACAAACTTTCAGGATGAAAGTCAAACCACTGTTTGCGATCTGTGTTGTTAAAGTGGCCCTTGAGGAAATTGGTCGAATGCAGAATATGCACTCGTCTCTCTGTGATGAAAAGAACTTTTCCACCCGCTTGTCGTCTCCACCCCTTTTTCTAAATGCTGTGATTTCCTCTAAAAACCGGCACCTATCCACCAGAAAACATCACTTTACATCACACTTCTAAAACTTGACGCCTCCAGCCTCTCCACGAGAAGACTTTTAGCATCTTTCCCCACCCACTCAAAGGCTTGCCCTACAAGTCGGTGTTTTTTCTTTTTTTTAAATCAATTTGGTCCTTGTTCTTTGGCCAGTGAGTCAAACCTTCTTCTTGGCCCTGGATGCCACTAACATGGCTTTGTTACACCCTGACTGAGCTGAATGAATCCTAATATTTGTTCTCTATCTGCTGGATGTTTACATGCAGACCTAGCTGTTGCTAACACCATATCTAAAACAATCAGTTAGTACAGTTTGATTCTATAGAGAGCAATCATTTTGTCGCCTCACTGGCAGGTGTTGTGCACGGTGTTGAATTTGATTGTTGTTGTTATTGTAACTGAAACAGAAATTGAGATATTCGAGAAACTATCATGAACTAAATCTGCCAAAGAAAGATCAGGGAAATGTTTCTGCTCGCTGAAACACTTCAACCTCAGTGGTTGTGTGTGGTGATGTAGAGCCTGTAATTATGTTGTCATTAGAATTGTACTATAGTATGTTTCAGCAAATTTGTGAAACACCACTGCTGCACATTATTTTTATACAGTCTCTGAGCCACACACATGCTATCAGTACAAGCCAAGCTAACTCGCTGTAAGTGTGAATTTACTGTGACGATAAGAGGATGTGACACGTCTGTGTTTTTTTTATTTCATTCACTGTGGTGATTTACAGCATGAACCCGTCTGCACCTGGAATGAGAGCACCTACTGTTCTTCTGTATTCGGATGAGTGGCAGGCAGCATGAAATGCATCTCTGTCTACAGGAGGTGAAACAAGCCCCACTGTGTAGAGTCGTATTAAAATACTGATATATATTTTTAAAAATCTTAAAAAGGTTATATTTACATTTTCACGGCGTCCTCAGAAAAGAATACAAATCTGGATCCAGTAGAGTTTCATTCAGGTGGAAGCTTTTCTCATCAACTGTATGGTAACTGTAAAACTAAAGAAATAACAAGTGGTAAACATTTCCATTAAGCCATGGTGACATTTTTCTCCAAGCCAAGGAAGATAAAGTGCAGCAATGACTCATGCTCACTGTGTTCATGATGCACCCTTTTTTTTTTTTGCAAAGGTTAAAAGATTCACAGGTCGTTTTTATGCACTAAAATATTTCTGTAATTGCTTTTTAAAGACAGTTAAGTTTTTTTTGCTTGAAGCCTTTTGAGCATTTCGTGTTTCTGTTCTATGCACCACTATATTTGTAAGACTGCCTCAAATCAAACACATCAAATTAAAGCTTAGATTTAGTAATGTAGCACTGCTATCTGTTTTTTGATGCCAACACAACCTGCTCAGGGTTCACATCTTGTGTCTCACATACTTTTGTTTCACATAAAAATAAATCTGTAATGTTCTTAACTGTGCAGCCCCTGGACTCCCATAGTGTGGCTGTGGCCTAAAGCTTGATTGAATTCAGGGCACTGTTGGGCCTGGGTGGAGATATTCACTTTACCGAGTAACATTCAAGTTTGCAGTGTTTTATTATTTCTGGCATTTACACTCCCTTTTTATGCCCGTTTTGAAAAATAAGTGGATGTAAACAGACCTTGTGAATCCTAAGCTGTACATCTTTGTCACGGCTTTGTCCATCTCGTCTCTTCTCGTCTGTCTCACCTGTAGGTACGGGGACATGGTGCCAAAGACGATCGCTGGAAAGATCTTTGGCTCCATCTGCTCCCTGAGTGGTGTGCTGGTGATCGCTCTGCCTGTCCCCGTCATTGTCTCCAACTTCAGCCGCATCTACCACCAGAACCAGAGGGCGGACAAACGCCGCGCTCAGAAGGTAACAGTCTTTAGCTGCTCCACCCGCTCATAGGCACATTTAAAGGTTATGTGCAGGTCACATTTGTTTGCATGTGCACGTGCACATGCAAATAACCCCAACCATTAAAAGTGCACGCTTTTCAAAACAACAAAGTGGCAGGATTATTAGACATTATCAAGCTAATGAGAGTGAATGGGAGGTTGAAGTGTTAAAAACTCTGGGTGGGTGGATGCTAATGGTTGTGCCTGAAGCCTATTCATCATTATAATAATGGCAGTGGTTACAGAGGACTTTTCTTTTTCTCCACAAAATGTACAGACGACAAATTTACAAACTTTAAAAATAATTCATCTCAATTAGAAATGGAACGTGTGCTGAAAATCGTAGCCAGCCACACACACACACACACACACACACACACACACACACACACACACACACACACAAACACACACAAACACACACAAACATTTGTTGCCCTTCAGACCCACATTGACACCGTCCTCGTTCCCATGTACACACACATTCCCTGTCGCTCTCACACACACTTCAAGTACCAAATGTTAGCTATCCACTCGCCCAGTGAGGTTGACCTTTCTACAGCATGAGAGAAGAATCGTAAGTTACAGAGCAGCTGCTGATTTCTAATTGAGAAGGAAAATGTTATTTAGTCTTTTATCCAAAAATTCAAACACGATAGACAAGTGCTCCCCTCACACCTTCATATGCCGCAGTTTATTGACCACATGCAGGTGAAGCTTGTGAAGCATAAAATCTTGTTGACTGGCTACAGGAGCCACATAGGTGTTGTAACATTGACATTCAGATACAACCTCTCAACAACCACGTCCAACACTGACTGTGCTCTCGGTACAAACCGTTTTTTTCTTTTTTAAATGTCCCTCATTCTTGGCCGTGGTTGTAAAACATGTCTCAGAACACAACGGGACAGTAAAACTCATAAGTAACACTCCTGCTAATGAAATTCTTTTAGCGTTAGCAGCTCCTTGGGGCTTACCCGTCCAATTATATCAGTAAGAGCAGAAACACATAAGCAGCTATCAAGGAGGAATTAATTTACACAAACGTGGTTGAGCTGTTCAATGAAAATGAAAAGGAATGACCATTTTTAATGCAGCTTTTGCTTTTATACCGTGGTCACAGAGGAGTCTTTCTCATGACACATCAGGCCACTATGTTCTCTGAATCTGTCGTGTAGAGACAGTAGACTGGGCAGCGAGTGGGTCCTAGCATTTACTCAAAATGATTAGAGTTGTTGAGGAAGGTACATTCAGCTGTTCTGGAGATTTCTTATTTCTATCAAACATCCATTTGAGATTGTACTGTAATCTATATGAATTTAAATGTTCTATTTTTGAGCACTTAAAGGACTGTTTTGTTGACATAAACACCAAGATTCAAAGTTTATACAACAGATTAGAGTCGGTACCAATAATGTATCAGCCAATAGGTATATATATAAACAATTTTTTGTTACAATTAAAAATGTAAAAGTTTGCATTTCGTTACACAAAAACGACGGCCAATCAGGCTCTAACTACAAAAGGTGTATTATTGGAAATAAAATGGTTGGTCACAGCTCTAAATACTCTAAATACTATAATCTCCTCGCACAGAGAGAACACTTTGCCCATCCAGGAAAGTACGGCACGTTTTACAGGTGCACATTAAACCTGACGTCAGTGAGCAGGAGGAGCTGCTCTCCTCGGCAGCTCTGTGTAATTTTCTGTTCTTACTGTGTATTTATCACCAATTCACAGAATTCTATCGCAATATGTGTTCTTGTTTTTCTCCATAAAGTACGATGCTGAAATAGAAAGAGATGGAAAAGAGGGAAACAAGGAGATATGTATATTAACCCTGTTCGTCTGTTCTTCCTCCCTTCTCTTCGTCCCTGAGTCTCATCCCTCTTCATTCTTCTCTAATAACAGGCTGCTCCAGGCTCCCATTACACTGATGTAGACATCTGGGGATTTGAGTTTACTAAACGTCCTCTCATGTACCCGTTGCTGTTTCCCTGTCAGAAAATATAAAGTGGAGAAGCTGAACTGGCAGTAGAGATAGTTGTCCCCTATACTAAATCCTCTAGTGTCTCTTCAGAGTGGAGTACAGTGTCTCCTCTTCATGTTCAGTCACCCACAGAGCCACAGGAACCCCCGGACACTAATGTGCCTAATTCCCTGATAAGATAACCCCCCCCCCTCCCCAAAAGGAGACGTCAGGTTTCGTTTTTTATTCCCGCACAAATCAGCGGTGCAGCATACTCACCATCGGGGTGTCGGTGAGAGTTGAGGAAGTAAATGAGGTCGCACTCGTAATGGGCAAAGTCGAGTGGAACCACACTGAACGATGGCAGGTTGTCAAGTAGGGGGTGTAAGAATTTGGACGTGAGGTCAAAACAAGACGATGGAGACAGTCGCAGGAGGGAGAAGTGAGAGACGCTGATTGTGGTAAAGGAAAGAAAGAATAAAGAGGAAAAGGTCTCAATGTGGAGGAGTTTCAAGGCTCACTTGTCTGAGGGGAGTGAACACTTTGTGCCTTTTTCTTGGACTGCTGCAGAGAGAGGTTGGTAATGTTGGAGCACAATGACTTGATTTGCTCAGACAACCAAGACGAAAGATTTATAAATCCATTATCACCAGGCTGTGGACAGAGTATTGAGAAGGTCCTTTCACACGAAATACATGAAAAACCTCTTCTTTTACCTTCATACATGAGCTTTGACAAATGCACTTTGGATTTTAAACAAACGCTGTTGACTTATTCCTTTCATATCCAAACATCTCCTCATTACCTCGAGGTTGTGTTTTCACCCGTCTGTCTCTTTCTCAGCGGGAATGAAAAACTACTGAAAGGATTTCCATTAAACTTGTTAGAAAGACGTGGGCCAAGAAAGAACCCTTAAAATTCTAGCGCAGATCAGGGCGGTGGGAGGGCAAGCAAAAGCAAACTGTTTTGACACTTACACCAATTTTCATGGATCTACGAGTGTGTGCAATTTGGTGTCATTGAATATAAGGGGACCCTTATTTGTGTCACTTGTGTAACTTTGTCAACTCAACCAAGGCTCAATGGTCCTCCTCTAATCCAACCAAGCTGCACCAAACATCACGCACTTACAGCTTTAAGTCCTGCAAATATGCCGACACCCATGAATGAATCCCTGAGCAATCAGTGAAAATGTTGAAACATGGATAATCCTGCAATGTTAAAGAAACTGATATAAAAAGAAAAAAAAGAAAAAGAAAAACTTGCAGCAAAATTTCATGGGTTCTTCCCTGACCCATATCGCATCCTTCCAACAAGATCCTGAAAACATAGCCTCCTTGGTGGAGGTAATGAGCTTAAATAGTTAAGTAGTTATAAATGTTTACAATGTTGGTTGGATAACACATTGTCCTACAAAACCTTAAACATATTGAAAATGTTGCTGAAGAAATTAACGTCATATTTACGCTGCTAACCATCAAACAAATGGACAGGGGTGGGATGATACCCTGCGTGGCGGAGGTAATGAGTATTAGGAGGTCCTCAGAAGCTGGGAGCAGCCTGATCTGCATGATACATGATGGTGTTGGAGCTTTAAAATGGACACTGTAGTGCTCGGTTGGACATAAATAACTTTCTCTGCTAATATTGATTCTCCTTTGACACCTTCATGAGCCGTTTGGGGATTTGATCTTAAATCATTGTGACTTGAAACCTACCTCAAAACTTCAGACCGACTTCGAACGTGAAAAAACTTGACTTGACTCTCGATTCAGAAAACGTCTGAATTTCATCAGTTCAGAATGTGGTTGAAAGGTTTCCAAGACGAGACCTGGACCCAACATCGGTGCAACCAGCTGCCGCGCTCTTGCACTCGCACAGTTAGTTCTCCCGTCAGGTTTTTGTGTCATGTGGAGCCTTTGATCAATAAGAAAATCAGGCAGCGCTTTCACTTTTAAATGCATTCACTATTTAAATAGAGCTGTGCTGAGAGGTTCCCTCTCACCTCCATACACAATTGTTATTATTACATCTCAGTCTCCGGCTTTTCACACATTCACAGGTATTTCTGAAGCGTCCAAGCTAATTCCATTACTTTTGATATTGCTCCACCGGTATCCTCTCTCTAAAATCCGTTTATCGGGGAGAGAAAGCAGTGGGATAAGGTTAAAGACGTCTCTCATCTTACACGTCCAGAATGAGGCACAGCTATATTACATACACTCATTCTGATATGCTCCTGATTTTGAGAAATTCCCGATATGATTTCTCTTTCATTTCCTGTTCGTCGCTCTATGTCCTTTACTCCATTCTGTTCTCATATTTATTAATATTTTTCTATTCTTAAATAAAGAATGGAAAGTTTGTCCAACAAGATTTTAAAAAAGGCGATTTAATCTTTTTTAGAGAAAATACTCATTCATGTCAGCAAAGAAGCTTTGAAATTGAATTTATTTAATATTTGTCAGGTGCACTGTAAACTCATCAGCCTCTAATAGGCAGAATCTGCACTAAAGCAGAAAACCATCCATTACCTGTGTGACTCATATATAATGTCCACTGTAGTTTCTATTCTTTCTATCAATTTATTGTAATTGTTTGATGTGCGTATTCATTTATATTTTAGTTTAAATCTTCAGTATCTATCTTCAGTATTTTAAAAAGTTCAGTTTGATAGGTTTTAGACTGAAGGGTCCTGTAACTTGTTTCAAGATCTTCATTATTTATCCTTATTGGTTTTGAGTTTGCTATAGTTTCCCTGGGGTCCATACACAATCATTATTATTAACAAACAGCAGCAGTGTAAAATAACATGGTATCAATGGATCAAGATAATAAAGAACTAACAGGACATGATAGTTCAATTTAAATTTTTTTTTTAGAAGGGAATTTGTATAGAGAAGTTCCAAAAATAAAAATCAATCTACTGTTAGTTAGAGAACAGAACAGAACCCAGTATATTTTGGTGCTGAAAATGTTCTGTGATGGAAAAAAATCTTGCTTATTTAGGGGACTGATGTTTGATAAATGAGTGTTTGCAAATTGATGCAAATTCAAATAAAAAATCAGTATCTAGTGAATTTAACTGTGGTTTCATGGGGGATTTTTGGGCCTTGTCAAAGATTTATTCTAGTTTTAGTACTGATTATTCTGACACTTGGCATTCTTGAGTAATCGATTTGTTATTTTGTCTATTTGGTATGAGAAATATTGAAAGAATTCCACTGCAAGATTCTTTTCCAAACAATCTAAATCTTCAATAGATACATCTCATAGTTGCAGTCAAGGATGTGATTCCGAACAAAAGCTAAAAGGATCTTTGATATTTTTGCCTAAAAAACAAGAAGCAGATTTTTCATTATTGCTGCTTTAGTGTTCATACTCTTGTGTACTTTGGGCTCTTCATCATCTTTTGTGCAAAGCCTGTGATACTTTAGATAATTTAGATCAAATCCGTTTGAAGAAGGCCTTCTCTTGTTTCAGTATGACACAGATCCAGGTTGATAAAGAAATAAGTTACAGAGTTTGGTGTAGAAGAACCCGTCTGACCTGCACGAAACCAAGACTTGAACCCAATTCGACACCTTTGGGAGAAAGGGGAACACAAACTGTGAGTCGGATCCTATCAAGCATCGCCACTGCTCTGATGGCTGAATGGGATCAATTTCAGCCTGCAGCCAGGTTACAAAATCTCGTGGAAAGATTTCCCAGAAGAGTGGAGGCAGTTCCAGCAGCACATTAATGCCCATGGTTTCAGAACTGAATGTTTGAGAGCCACTTTTTTGGTGTCAACATATTATTGCCCATCTTTTAAAAGTTGTTGCAATATTTCAGGCCCGAATCAAGTCAACACCCTCGGAGGATTCATTTATACATTAGACCAAAATACAAAATCAGAGAGAAAAAGCTCTATGTAGTTCCAATCTCATGCATTAAAGAAATATTTTTGGTGGGAAGAGCAGCACAGTAGTAGCTGTGAAGACTACTACAGAGTTTGGCTGATGAGTTGGCAGATTTTCACTATTAAATAAGGCGTTAGTCATCTTCTCTGACCTCCCGCCCACGCAGTCTGACGCTCTGACCTCTTCTTCTTCCCACGCCCAGAAAGCCAGACTGGCCAGGATAAGAATAGCCAAGTCCAGCAGCACCAACGCCTTCCTCCAGAGCAAACGCAACGGGCTGATCAACGAGCTGCTGGAGCTGACGGTGAGAAACACCTCTGACCCACTTCACCATCAACAGCAAAGTGGGCGAGATGATTACCAGGAAGTAATTTCAAATGTGTTCATTTAAAAAAACATGACATGTAATTCAGCATGAGAGATTATCAAATGGTTCCTTGTCAAACACCCATCTGCTAATTATTTCAGCTCACTGCGACTCAATAAGGTGGAAGCAGCAACTTCACAACAGAAGAGCGCGCACACACACACACACACACATACAAAACAACAATAATCACTGCCATAATGATCCACAGGATAATTTAAAAATTATTAAAAGGCAATAAAAGAGCAGCAGAGGCTTGAGTCATTACGTTCTTGTTGTTGTACAGGGCAGGGATGAAACATAGATGAAACAGAGGAGTTCTGTGTGGGTGTAATCGGTGTAATCACACAAAGTACTTTACCTGGAAATCTTTCAGTCCTCGACTTGATTTAATCAGAGTCAGTGAAAGTGGCAATTGCAGACACCAGATATTGTTTCTACTGTTTTTGCTTGGTGATAATTACACTATTAGTGCATTAGAAGACGCCACTAGTGAACAGTGAGGCAGGGCACTAATACTAGAGTGTGGTTCCTAACACACATTTTCTGTCTGAACCCAACCGAGTGAGAGAAATCTAACCGAGCTGTACCCGAACATGACAGACATTCTGTTTTTATCTTAATTACCGGCCTGAGCCTGACAAAAGGGTAACAGACTAAGAAGATAGACCGGCCATCGTGACTGAACTCAACCCGACCCTGATATCATTTCAAACATTTGTCCAAACTCAGTCCAACAGGCTCGGGCTTGGTATCCACACTCCAAAACCCTGAGCACTCATCTTTCCTGTTCTCTTCTGTTCGTAGCTTTATCTTAAACCTACACACCTCTTTGGTCAGTTGGGGACAAGCTGACATGGCTGGATTGTCACTAAACATTAGCAAACTTTCACATGGGAGTGAGGAGCGATGCACTAGGGTAATACAGCGCGGCACACGGTATCTGGGCCCCCACCTGACATTGATCGCAGGCAGTGGAGCAAGTATTTATCAAATTAACCGAAAAGATTAAGTTGGTTTGAGGTTATAAATGTCACTTTCAATACAGTGTTGTTTAACTGCCCAGTCCTGTTACTAAGTAGACTTTAGAGATTAGCTTTAGTGTAGTTTTAACTTTGGGGAGTGCCAGGCTAGCATTACCCCTAATTCAGTTTTTTATGCTATATGCTAAGCTAATTGCATCCTATTCGTGCACATTAAAGTATCAATCTTATAATCCAATATCTATTATGTTAAATCGCGTGTTATTCTCAGTTTGTTCATCAACCATCTACCACTGTTCTTCAACTTTTACTTCTCTCTTCTTCTCTTCTTTTTATTCGTCACCACCTTGGAAATATGTGTTTGGTAATGCATGAGCAAATTGCCTATTTCCATCCTGTGCTGTCCATCACGCCTGCTTTCGGTTACACACTGCCCTCCTTGCAGATGGTTACTAAAATCCATTTGGATCTAATCGAGTCCAGTGTGAAGGCTCATGGGTGTCTGGAAGTGGTTAGAATTATCATATAAATGCCATCTGTGAGTGCTGAGTGACCCCCATCCCTCTGCGTCTCTGTGATGAGGCTGCCAGCGTCCTGGCACATCAAATTATGATGGTGTCACTGCTGTCAGTCAGTCAGTCGCGCTGCGTGGGTCTGCGGTGGGAGTGAGTGGGTATATTTGACAAAGTGACTGTCTCTCTCATTGCCTGTAGTTGGATTAGAAGTTTACTGCGGATCCTTTTCAGTTTTCCCTGATGGCCGACCGCCTGCGCCCTCGACAGCTCCTCATTTGTTTCCCAGATCGCGGGCTCATTATCATAGAGGGTGATCGGTTTATCATCAATTCCAGTTTCTCTTATCTGGGTTCTGTTTACTTAATTTATTCTACTTTTCACTTAAGAGTGACAGGATTTCCCGATTTTTCTCAGCGTGCCTGTTCCAGACTGCCCATGTCACAGAGTCCGATGATTCAAACAGGTCTGGTGTTGTGCTCACTGGCAACAGATAACCAGTCAGATCTTTGTTGGACCGGAGCATGTTCCTGTGTCAGGATCAGAAAATGGCAGTAAATCAACACAGGTATAGAAATGAGCAATATGGAGAAAATCCTCTTTTATGATGTATTACATTTTTTTCTGGAAAAATCGGTCGACAACCTGTTGATTGATGGAACAGCCTGATGGAAATGTGTTTGTCACCGATACAGAAAATTAAATGATTGACCAAAACACATTTCTTCTTCTCATTATATCATAGACTATTATAACAGGAACTCTTAAATTGAAAACCAGTAAATTAAATTGAATTTCAGTCAAGTGGAAATGTTATCTTTTGTAACAGCACCATTTTTCCATCGCATCCGAGCGAACTGGACAATATCATGATCACAGCTCTGCACATTATTATAAAAGTATAATCCATTACTTCTTTGTCATTTAAAAAAGAAACCTCATGACTGAAAAAATCTCCTTGTAATGTGACAAACTATAATGTGAGTTTTTCCCCAAAGGTGCTTGTCTCATAGTGGGTAATTCTACAAATCAAAGAGCAGGACTCATGTGATTTTAAGGTGCACGCTGACATTTACAACATCTGTCAGCTGAATACCGTTGATCCACGACTGAATACTAAGAATCAAAGTTTTAATTTCTCTTGGGAGTTGCGTTTAATTTAAGTCACAGATCTGCCTGTGAAATTTGTTTTGAAAAAGAAAAACCTCCCTGGATGGTTGGAAATCTTGTTAAAACTGTCAGGCTGCTGTGAAGCCTAAAAAGACATGATTCATCGTGAGACAGCAACATGTCCTTCGTTTACCTCAATACAAAAAGACTACAGAGAAGAAAAGAAACTGAAAATTAAAGATGGTGGAACGGTGACTAAGGTGGTAATGCAGGGACATGAATTAGTCTTTGATACAGGCTATTTGATGATGTAGCTTAATTTGTATCACTGTGCGAGCCACAAAAATGAATAAATGATTATTCAGTTTATATTAGAAACTCCATAATGCAATATAAAAGTACACACGATGTGCAGGGACAGATTTTATCCATATCACATACATTTGAATAAAGATTCTCAGTCTGTGGTTGCGTAACTTGCCCTCATTAATGTATTACTCTCCCTCAGTAGCCACGTCTTTGTGATTAAGTTAACGTGATCAGGCTCACATTACAGATCAGCTGCTTTTCTTGCTAGATGAAGAACTGAGCCTTGACAGTAAGTCTCAGTCTCTAGATGAAGAAAATATCTCTGATGGCGTCTTTGCCAGAGGGTAAATCCACACATTGAGACATCAGAGGGCGGACTGTTCTCCTGCTTACATCTCTCTATTGTTCATGTGTGTGGAATCTCAATGAAGAGTCCTTGGGCTGGATCGCCTCCTACCCAAATCCTTTGAGGGACAATGTGCACTGCGGGGAGAGAATTAATTTGTTTTCACTTTTCATGTTATTTGGCAGTTGTGATTACTTGGAGACGGAGCTATACCGGAGCCCGAGCTCTGAAACCATTTCCCATTTGGAGTGATACCCAAAAAACAGAAAATGACTCCATCAGTTTGTGTCTCTGTTTTTTCTCAACTTGGCTGTTTTTCCTCTTTCGGAAGCTTCAGACATCAATAACTGTTCATCTGCCCGCAGCATCAAACATCACCCAGTGGTATCTACTCAGAGAAGAAGTAAGAGCTGGCAACATCACGGTTTTAAGATTTATATGTTAAGTTAAAATAAACTGTGAGGGGAGGTTATTTGGGGCATTCTTACCAAACCAAAGGTTATAACAGAGCTAACGACACAAGTGATGACCCAGAGAGAAAATATTTTATAAACAAAACACTTGCCTCTGCAGGCCCCGGGCTGAGAGATCAATTCACACCAAGCAGAAATGTGGTCTGTAATGTAAGTAATTGGCCAGTAAATTATTTGAAAGCCAAGAGCAGGAGTCGCTGGCTACCTGCTCGTAATGGAAATTAAATCAACAAGCGTGAAGCAAGAGAGTTCAGCAGAAAATGAGGTACATGAGGCGAAAGGAAGGCATCACATCACTGAGTTTCCATTACTGATGTTCAGATTCCTCAGTAAGTAGCACAGAGTCATTTCAGCAACATGTTTATATGCACCGAGTTATCCACGTCCAAAGTCACTGAGTGCCTTCAGTTACTGACGGGCCGACACCGACAGCGCCCTGAATAATCTGTGTGTGTGTGTGTGTGTGTGTGTGTGTGTGTGTGTGTGTGTGTGTGTGTGTCTGTCAGGGTACAGAGGAAGATGAGCAGAAGCTGACCAAGTCCATGTCTCTGTTAGAGAGCCAACACCACCACCTACTGCACTGTCTGGAGAAAACCACTGTGAGTGCACTTTATTACATTCCCAACAAGTCAAGTTAAGATGTATTCACCGTCATATAAGAATTGTACCATGATTAAATAATTTCATATCACTGCAAACATCCACACTTGTCTCCTACTTGACCTTTTCATACCCTGCAGCTCCACGTTCCTCCAACACATCTCAAAATGAAACTCCAGGGAGTTTAATTACACTCAGAGATGTTGATCTAAATCATTTGACACGTTTCACTTGTAAACATTTGCACACAGGGAATCAGTGAATCTTCCCTCCAGTCAAATAGAGATTTTAAATGATTCTTCTACGATTAGGCTATTATTATAATCACTATTAATTATCTGGTGCAGTCCTTTATTTGTGAAATTTGATGTATAACTCCAGGCATCAAGTCCCTTGAGTCTGTCTTTTATTTACTGATCACTGTCCTCTCCTCTTCCTCACTCCCTCCTTTTTCTCCATAATCTATCGTCTATCGCTTCTCTCCAGGCTCATGCGTTTGTGGACGAGCTGATATACGAACAGAACTGTTTGGAAACGACGCTGCAGACCTTCCCCTCACGCAGCCCCTCCACATCCAGCCACGACAGCTCAGCCGGTACCTGCTGCGGCTGCAGGGCGAAGAGAAACACTCCTCTGCCCAACGCCAGCACACCCTCTTCCCATCCCGTCCCGACACGCCAGGGCCCCCTGCAGGAGCTCAGCGCCATCCACATACAGTGCAGTGACGCACCATCCCACCCTGCCAGGTGAATTTCAGCAGCAGAAACACACACAGGATTTAGGAGATCGTTAACTTAACGATGCTAAATTTGTGAGGGAGCTGCCACAATATTTTCCACTTGAAGGATCAGTTAAATACGGTGAATGACATCGCTCCCATTAATAAAATAAGATCTACAAAGCCAATTCCCGGACATTTTGGTTGAAGATTAAAGTCAGGTTTTTTTTTATGTCCCAACAGTTATCAATCAATAAAGTTGGGGAGGGGGCGGGATGTATTGGTTGCATTTTTACAAAGTGTAGCCTGCTCTTGTCGGCTGTTCCAGGATTACCAACCCCAGCTTTAAAAGATGAATATGAGACAAGAGTTAAGAGCCCCCCCTTTCCAATGTGGGACAAAGTATTGGAACATGTGACTGAAAGATGTATCGTGTTGCCAAAGTGTTTCAATTAATTGTTTTATTATTAAAAAGCTCTGAATGTCCACTCTCGGTTTTAGCTGCGGGTTTCAACCATCATTTCAAAAGGATAAACCAACATAAAGAACCGAGAACTGTCTTTGGGAGAAAAGCAAAACCATATGAAGCTGTGAAAAGAGTGAAAATGAATCACAACCATTTCAAAATTATTCAACGCACAAACATTTTGAATTACTAGAAAAAGAAAGACTCTAAAATAGCAGTCATCACAACAGTCCTCTCAACACGTCCATCCACACATCCTCTTGTTTGTAAAGCGTTTAAAGTCGTCAACAAGACAGAAAAAACATATGTTCACTTGTACCTGGGATATTTTAGCTACATTTTCATACAACGAGAGGTAGTGGCGTCGCGTCGTTCATTAATAAACCAGCAATGCTCTAGTGGTTTGAAATTCGATGTGCTCCTGGAAAATTCTTGGAAAATAACCCGTCAGCAGCCTGACCTCAAACCTGACTCGATGTAAAGTCCACATCACATGTTTTTTAACAGAAATCCTACAGAAGCTGAAAGTTTGTTTCCTCTCTAGTCGTTCAACCCTCAACCTGAAACCCGGCGACAGAGGCAGGATCAACTGCAAAAGCGGTCGAATCACCACGGCGATCATTAGCCTCCCGACGCCGCCTGCTCTGAGCCCTGACGGCGACGGACTCCGCGGGCCTTCGCAGAGGAGGCCCCCCCCACCCCCGGGTCACCCTGCGGCCCCGAGCATCCAGACCACAACGAGCTCAGCTGGCAGCAACATTGTCAAAGTCTCTGCTCTGTGACCGTGCACAGCAGGAGGAGGACAGTAACGAAGACGAGGAGGAAGAAGCAGGTTTTACTACAACAATGGACGCATCATGTCCCGTTTCACAGGGTCACTGGGAAGGTGACTGTCCTCCTGTGTGGAGACATTACTGTGGCAGAGGATTGTAAATACGAGCACAGAGAATCACGCACTCATCCTGTATGTACTGTAGATACGGACAGAACCGCAGCATTTCTAATAGTTTCTAACAGCAGGACAGATGTTTCACTGCAGGTACTGAGGACGACATTGGAAGACGATCAGCACGTCCAACATCAGCAGACGCTGTCGACGTTCCACAGATTGACAATAAATTTAAAGTGTGAAATCGTAATAAAAAAAAAAAAGATTTGTGTTGACTTAAATGTGCTTGAAGAAGAGGATGAGGAAGAGCAACTGTTTACTTGAATTTGTAACGTCTTGTTTGTGTTTTCTGTCTTTTGTCATTTGACAACTCTGATGCGTCACATCGCTGGATTTCATGTGTGGGACCGAAAAGTGTCTTTTATAAATTTATGTTGGAAATTCATATCTGGTTATTACGTCGAGGCTGAAAGCAAATGTTCAGTTCTGTCGTGTTTAAATTTCGGACCGGAGATCGACCGCAGGAAGTGAGACCGACCTGAAACTGTAAAAAGTTTTCACGCTGAGGACAAACAAGAGAGTGGTTCTCAACCTGACGAACAACGTGATGGTTTGACGTTTTCATTGAAGGGCGATTTCACAATGATTCATGCTACACAATTTCTGTAATTGTATTTGTTTGGGACCATTTGAAGAGCTGGATTAATAGAATAACCGTGTCCATGTTTATCAGAAAGGAGGAACATGTCATAGTGTAAAGTTGTAGCTCCAGCATTTGTTTAAACGAGTGTGTGTCTGTGTCAGACTCTTCGATGGAACATTCAAGCACCAAACGTTTGTAGAGAGAGACATCATCGTCTTTGGCACAGAGTCAATTCATCAGGCTGATACTTTAAGAATCAGAGCATTGGTTTTGGTTTTGTCGTGGGATCTGTTGACAACAAGAACTATACCAATACGTTTATCCTTTAAAGATATTAAATACATGCAGTATTTTCTTCTACATGATTGAAACTGTTTCTATGAATGCAATTGCTGCTCTTTGTTCTGTGGAAAAATCAAAAGCTGCAACTCGTCATGCTGCCTGATCTGAGGCTGACAAGGAAAATGAAACGTGTGTATTTATCTTGAGTGGACATGTTGGGGACTGAAAGCCAAAATGCAGAACACCACTGTGATATCAAACAACCACGCGGAACGTTAACGGGGGAAACAGTTCACGTTCAAGTTGAACTGAAACTGAAAATCTACACTTGAAACTCGTCTGAATACAGAGAAGTGGTTAAATATGCAAATATGGAAATAGATTTGGGTCCGGTCACTGTCTAGAAATGATTTCTCTTTCCTGCCTTTTTAACCTTTGACGCTTTAATGAAGCAGAAACACGTTGATCAGGACGCTGAGCTGTCTGAGCCTAAACTTCTAAAACAAGTCTCCTGGTGCTTTGGTGCCCGATCATATGTGTTGTCTTCAGATGAACCATTTTGTCTCAGCTCACTTTGATTCTCACAGAGAAGCATGAGGGGACATTTGAGATTGAACACATTTCCTCTGTGAAAGAACTGAGCTGTTTGTACAGATTGAAACAACTAAACCTGTTTTAAATGTGTTTCACATCTTTAACATTTGTAAAGAAGTGTACACACACGTGTAAATAACCCGGTTCAACAAAACAATCCTGACTCACAGTCCACATAACTTTATTTTAACACGTTTCTTTGAGAGCAGAGCTGTAGATTAAATGATAACGGCAACTGAGCAAATTCAACTTCGACTGAAAGAAAACACTAGTGAGTGGTCCATCACATGGGATTACTTTGTCAAAGTAGTATTTCCTAAAATAAACATTAAATATTGAGTTTGAAATATTTAATATTCTCTCAGACACACAAAGGAATCGATGAATAACAAGAACCTTTATCATAAGAATCTGTGACGTTCACATGACGGCAGCGAAGAATGATTGAAGGTGAACTGAACCCTAGTTTATGGCCTTACTCCTGCGTGAACGTGTTATTTGCGCCCCTGCTACATGTCGCTCATTTGACGCTGATAGATGCCTGGTGTTTCAGATAGTTTGTGAGCTGTGGATCTCTGTATCAAATGAACAATGGCTTTATTTGTCCTCTCCTAAAAAATAATAATAATAATAATAATTTCCCTTCATGTGTACTGGGATCATGAAAGTGAAGTCGTTTTTGCTGTATCGGTAAACTTTGTGTTGCGTTTCTGTATTTTGTCAAGTTTGAAAACCAAGGTGAAAGTGTTGTGCCAAACTTTTCCATCCTCTGTGAGTTGTCGTACTTTCTCTGCTGCTATTTAAAAAAAAAAAAACAGAACCCTTTAGATAATTTTCCTCTCTTTGTTATTGCTGAAAATAAAGAGCGAGTGATGTTCATGACATGGATCTGCACAAGAGGACAGGACCACAGACCACCATCATGCCCCGACAGGTTTTTTGGAGAAGACACCGACACCAGGACGAAACCATGATGATGAACTTTTCATCGTACTATGGACTTGACTTCAAAAAGAATTGTGGGGGATCACTTTTTGTAAAAGTCTTGGCATCGCTGTTCTCCTTGTTTCTATCTTTTTATCCTTTTGGACTGAGCTTTTCTGTCTGTTTGCTGTGTGTTCAGTATTCTGTCAGTTTGTTACAACTATCAAGTGTCAGACGAAAATTAAAACCTGCCACAGAAAATCTAGTGTCATGATGTTGGTAGATTTTCACACTAAGAACATTTTCTTGTCTTTTAAACTAGAGCCCAACGAATATGGATTTAGAGAAGCTGATAACCGATGGAGTTCAAATTATTTCAATACCAATTGAAAAAATGTCCTAGACTCAAATATATAGAATTGAATAACAAAAATAATCAGAATTCTTTAACGTAAAATGTAAATATTGTTTATTTTCTGCATCTTCTATTCTGTAAAATAAATATGTGTCTGTGAAAGGCTCATATTAGTTTTATCTGTCAGGCTCAGGTGGAAACAGGCGGGAAGTTAAAATCAATTTCAATGAAGTTCAGTCAGATACCAGCTTCCACGTGCAGTTCTAAGAGGACAATTATTTCAAAATGGTGCTGAGGGATTTTGTGCTGTTCTTCAAACTGAAGGATAACAGGAAACATTTGATTCATTAATCGTCACTCACCGGATCATTTTCAAACTCCACGCTGCAGAACGAGCCTCGAGTGTTCTGTTAAAAGTGAATCATCTCAAACCTGCTTTCTTCAGAGGCTGAAACACGCAGAGCTGTGCAAAGGTTTTAGATTCATTACATTAGATTCAATTCAAATTCGTATCCATCACACGGTTCCGTCAGAGAGGCGTCTGATTGGTTCCACTTTCATTCTGACTGACTGTGACTGCAAACACAGCACGACTCAGAGAACATTTAGAAACTGTTCACTGTGATGAGTGATGAATTTAAAAACTAACCCTGGTATATTATATTAAAGCTCCTTTTTCTTTTAGTGGCAGAAACTTGGGATGTTCACATTCCTACAAAATTAGTAAAATTAGTAATTACAAAATTCCTAGTAAATTCTTCACACAATCCCAGTTTTAAATGCACATCCCTGCCTGCACATGTGTACCTGCTGCACTAGATGGCAGTGTAGTTCAACACAACTTATTCATACACACTTTCCACAAACCATTGTTGAATTTCTTATTATCTTATCTAATTCAATATTTATAAGGACAGTAACTGTATTCAGTGTTTGTACCAAACAATTCAATCAATCATTTTGTTTGCTTTGTTTTCTCTTCACCATCCTGACTTGGTATTATGATCATCAATATGAAACAAAAGCCAAACTATATTTTAAAAATGAGGAAATTTAAAGAATCAAAGAAAACAAACATTTAAATGCTTTAAAGTCGGAGGCAGGTTGAGTTTCCGTCGTGTGTTTAACCCTCAGGTCGTCTCATTGTCATCGTGACGATCCTTCACTGCTGATCACCTGAATATCACTAGTTGCTGCTTGATGTCATCACACAGAAAAGCTGGGTGACTCAAACCCTCTCAGACAAACCCACGCATCCAACTGCTTCACAGATTACCTTCACTGTTGGAGGGAAAGTGACTCACACAGAGAATTAAAGCAATGTTTAAAGAAACGTTCCACCAGCCCACCTTCCATCACTGAATTCTTCAGAACCCACTAACTCACACAATTATATTTTTGGATAAAGTAAAGAAAAGAGACAAGCAGCTGTAACTGAACCCAGTATGAAACAGGCTCAATAGATTTTAACACAGAGACAGAAAACTGAAAAAAAAATCACTGAATGTAAAATGTATAGAAACATTTTATTTTCACAAAAAAAAAGTTAAACAAATTATGTTTTTTTTTCAAACTAATCTACATATAAGTAAACTGCAGTGGCATGTCCTGGACTGTAGATGGCAGTGCTCTAACATCTCTACCTACCTACAGACTATTTCACCTATTACAATTATTATCATTTATGATTCTTTGTACTAACGGTCAATTATCCAGATAAAGAGTGGTACCACATATGTTCTTCACATCGAAAACAATTCAGTATAACTGCTGTGTTCATCTTATGGACACTTGTAATATAATTCTAAACATAACCCACAATTCACCACAGTGTTAAGGTTTAAAGTAAAACAGGGAGAATTTGTACCAAACTGAGGAGATCGAGCAAAAAGAATCATGACAAATGGTCTTAACAACCTCTCAGAACTGGAGATGACTTCGTCACATGTCCTTTCTTCTCACTAACGGTCAAATATCAAAACATATCTAATCTACTAACATGGTAGACGATAACAAAACCAACAGTTAACGTGTGAGGATCTAAAACAGTGAATTCATCCTCTTTTGCTTCTAAATTAATTTAAATCGATCACCGAAAAGTGGATTTATTTTCTGCCATGAATCAATTGAATGTCTCTAATAATAATTACAACATCAAACTGACACTTCAGACTGGATTTAATGTTTGACTGGTAACTTTATCACCAGCAGGGAGTCATAACAATATAATAATTTGGAGTTATCTTCCCATTAACATGTCTTTTATCTGCCGTATGAAGTGACAGATGTTTCTTTATGAAGTTAAATGTAAGTTCAGGACACTGATGTGGTTTATTTCATATTTAACACATGAGGGAGGACGGTTAGAACACAGACACGCAGACATTACATCATCTACTGTTTCTTCTCAAACATTAAAATCATGACGTCTCATTCAACTGTAACAGAGACAAACACAGTGGGACCATCAATAAGACTGATGCACGATTTAAATTAACTTTAAACAAGCTGACTTAACAAATTACAACAAACGTCAGGTTTCACATTTTTCCTTCTCATTTCGGAAAGATCGGCTGCTGATAAAGAAACTGGACTGATGTAAAACAGATGATATTCTATCTTCAATTTAAAATGAACAGTTTCATTACTCCCCAAACCTCTGGCTCATAAAAGTGAGGTGATGCACATGTAGATCTGGGGGGGGGGGGGACTCCAAAATCAAACCTGCAGCACATTTGTAGCATCAGAGTTCAGGTTTAATCTCCATTGTTGATTCTTCTGTGACAGGATGAATCTGCAGCAGTTTCTGTTTACAACCCAAATACAGCTCAGGTCCTAACAGCACACAGAGAGCGGTTTCATTACAGGAACAATTGTGTTTTGTCGTTGCTTCGACTTCAGTGTGACCGAACAAGTCACAACACTGAGTGAGTGAGTGAGAGGATTATGATGTGATCTCTGTCTGCAGTGATTAAGACAGTTTCTGTTGCTGCCTGTGCCGCCTACGATTCAGCGCCGAGTGATCTGAGGAGACATTTGTTGTAATCCACAGTGTGTTAACGCTGACAGCTGCATGGGAGGAAGAGGACACATGCACGAGAAGCAGCTGCAGGTCGAGGGTACAGTCGGGACAGAACCATGAGGCAGCACCATCACTAGAGCTGGTTTCAAACTGGACTTATCAGAGACGCATTTGGACGTAAACACTTGGATCCTGTGGTTGTTTTCAGAATGAACGCACGAGCAAAGACCTTAACATGGCCTGTTTCCAAATCCTGAATATTTCAGTTTTGCAGGATCAGTGAAGGAGAAAATTCAGCAAACAAACAAACTCAGTTCAGAGTGTGACACAGAAAGACTCTGATGACCTGGGTGTGTTTTCATCAAACTTTTGATTGACAACATCAGGCGACGACTCCACAGCTGTTACGTGTCCGATTCAGATGTTGCTGAATCCTGATTGGTGCAGCGAACAATATGAAACCACCTTTCTCCAACAGAAACACGCCCACTTCAGACCAGAGAGAGGAGCAGTGGTGAAACAGCACAGATGAATAATCATCTAAATATGATTGTTATCAATAGCAATATAACAAAAGTTCAATATATATGATATTAAACTTATCTTGATATTATTTTTGGCCTCATTATCATTAGTCCTCTTCGCTCAAGTTATTTAGAAAATCAGTTTTCAGGGAGACAATCAACTACTGTTGACAGTTGGTTTATAAGTCAACCAACAGATCACACTAACCTTTATCATTAATTAACAGTTTAACTAATTAAACAGTTCCAGTTTGTTAAATATGAGGATTCACTTCATTTTGTATCACTGTCAATTTCACATATTTGGAGGTTTTAGACAAAACAAGATGAGGACGTCATTGAATGTTGAGATTATGAAACTGTGCTCACAAAGAAGTAATTACTTCAATGTTAATGCTGCATTAAGCACAAAGGACCTGATCTACACACGTCTGATGATTCTTAGTGGATCTAAAGAGTCTAGAGCATAAGACTGAGCATAAAACTCAAAGTGAGGAAAAGTCGTCGAACAGAAACAGTTATATAAACCTGCTCTATATAAAAACTGCAGAGAACTATTATCAATTCTAGACCTTTAATATTTAAAAAAAGAGAAAAGAATAAAACACACAAGTCAGTTGAAGCTTCTCTGTCTCTCAGAAGTTAAGTTATGCTCAGATGATTTATTTAGTCATGCTCCGTTTCATTGCTTTGGGAATCTGAGATGCCTCTTTCCCTTTCTCACTCAGCATCCGTCCATCCATCTGGGACAAATCCAGCTTCAGACCCGATATTAAAACTTCCAGATGACAGGAGCAGGTCAGAGTGCAACCAGTTCCCTGACTGAGGTCTGAGGAAGTGGGTGAAGGGTAGTAGATTATCATGGTGCACTATGGAGTGTCCACATACTAAATAAACTCCCTGATCTATTTTCTTCTCACGGCAGAAAAGTTCTTGGTTCAAATTGTGGTTTGGAAGTTGGCTCTCTGTGGAGTTTGCATGTTATTCCCGTGTTTGAGTTTTTTTTTTAAAGGTACTCTTGCCTCCTCCCTCTGGAAAGAGAAACAGATTGGAGTTGGCTTCATTGGAGACTTTAAATCGATCGTGAGTGCTTTGGATAAAAGCGTCAGCTAAATGATATGTGATGTAATGTCAACTTTCAGTGTTTGAAAATCATATATGATGTAATGTGGACACAGTGTGGTTTGTAATTTGTATTTAAATTCAACGCTCCGCTCGTTTCATGTCATCAAACAGGGACGTGCACACGACAGAGAAAACGCTAGAAAGCATCACATTGTCCTGAATGTCAGCATTTTATTAAACGATCATTTCTACACAAAACAAGCCTCGAGATGTTTCTAGACTTCACACACAAACTTCTTAGAAATGTCAAATCTGTTTTCTGAGTGAGGGAGAAATAAACATCTTCCAGATTGGCCATCTTGTATTCGCAACACTTCCTTCCCTTGCTAATAAAGTTTTATATCCGGGTCACACAACAAAAGCCTGTGGCTCAGGTGTTTCCTCTGAGGCCTCGTCAGTGAAGGTGGCTCAGGAAACTGTCCCAGTGGCTCAGCTGGGGACACACATGTCTTCATTTAGAAACATCCTCCATGAACTTCCTCCCTCGTGTTGAATCCATTCTTCTGGTGTGTGACCGAAGGCACAGAGCATTTGCTTTTTCAAACTGTGAGATGCTTCAGCTTTGAATTCCAGCAGAGTCAGACTTTCTCTGTGTAAATCCTTAGAAGCTGCGTGTGCACAAGAAATGAAGCGTCCAGGTTTTCCTCCTGGTTTGAATGGGACGTGGTGTGGTCTGTCCCGGGAGGCTCCTCTCATTGGAGGAAATCGGATATGGGCAACGTAAGCGCTCGTCTTGAATGAGAAACTAGCAGAGGAACCCACACACACTGAGGCAGACTGACACAAGCCACTGACACACACACACACACACACACACACTGAGTCTGTGGATGCAGACGAGCGCATTCTTTTTTGGAGTCAACACATTTTCGTCATCAGGAGCTGTTTTTATTTATTCCAGTGTTTTGCGTCATTACGAGCCGGGCGCGCATTCCTCAGCAGGATTTGCGCATCTCCAATCTCCAACTGCGGCTCGTGGTTGTTTTTTTGTTTTTTTCCTCCATGAGAGCGCTGTTTTAGATTTTCTACCCGGGAGGAAGCTTCCACACACCGGCCATGCTCGAGCTGCGACTGGCAGCGACGCGTTCCGTGTGAAATCCTCGTGTTTTCAACCAAGAGAGAAATAAAACATAATCCAATGGAGCAGCAGCAGCAGCTCTCCAAACCAGAGAGCAGAAACATGGACGCGTGTCTGAGGCGACTGAAGCAAGAAGTGGTATGTTTCCATTAAATCCACTTCTCTTATTGGATCAACACAAAGATGATGAACCACTCTATGAATGTCTGTTTTTCTTAGTTCTGTAGATTTCTAATGGGTTAATTGGCTCGTGTCAGACACAGACACATAAAATATACATTTCCCTCTGAGATGTGACGTTTTCTTTGCATTTTCCCCGTGAATAGATTCTTCCATGTTCCTGACTGTACTACTACAGTCTTTACTTTCAGTTGGGGGGGGGGGGGGTTACATGTGGATTTTTTTTAATCGTGTTAATCTATAGGCTTACAGCTTTGGACCAGAGGCATGTGTACATCAGTATCCCCCTCCTCCTCCTCACATCTGGGGCAGATGTTTTAAGCTTAATGAGCTCTTCCTCTGCTACACTGTTCTGTTTGAGTCTGGTTAGATTGCTTCCTGAAGTAGATCCACACATTTCTTGGGTTTGTTGTAGTTGATGTAAATCATGTGTTGCAGTAGATGTGAGTTCTTGGCTGCCACAGGCGGGAGAGGGAAACAGTCACTCAAGAGTTTCATCACATTATTCTGCCCTAAGTGAATTTGTCGGTCTCCCTCGTTTAATGTGCTCACATCTCCGTCTCCTCTGATAAACATTTGTTTGATGGTGGCAATTTTAGATTCCCATTCCTCACCCCATCCCCGTCTTTGAAATGTAAAAACTAAATCTGGAGGCTGCTGCTCCCTCGCACCCAAATCATTTGGCAGTGACACATTGTATAGAGACATTTTCAAAGGAGCCTTTGACTGGCACAGATTTCATTTGGAACCATCTTCAAAGCAGCCACAGATTTCTTTTTCCTCCCTCTTTCTATCCAGCCACCGGGCCACAGAAAAGCATTATCGCACGGCAGCGTGTTTTGCAACATAATCTGCTCTGTGACTTCTTGATTCACGGCTCCAAATTAGCCACACGTCTGTGAAGTGGCACTTGTGATTTCAGGGGAGCGGACGATGATGCCAGGAGGACGTGTTGGCGTTGTAGCTGCCAAATCACAGTTTGGTAACATAATAGAAAAAAGTGTCGTGCCACGTCGGGGATCGATCAGGAGGAGCGGTGAGCAGATGCCACGGTTTTAAACAGCCGAGGCCGTCTCCCCCTGCCCGGGACCATGTGGGATGCAATCTGTTGTTCAGAGAACGAAGGGCGTCTCAGCCAAGGTTGTCACTTTTCTTTCCACTGAGTCTCATCCAGTGCTCACTGGAGAGTGGTAAACCAGCTCCATCTGCAGCACAGACATCACAAACATGTAATAACCGACTGCAGCTGCGAGGATGAGTGGCTCTTCAGTATCACTTGAAACTACGATTCAAAGACTATGATGTAGTTTAAAAAGGACCCGAGCCAAATGCAAATTCTGGATCATTTATGCGATCAAACAAAACTTACACCACAGGACCTCAGGCGGCAGTTCATGTGTTTTAGAAGTTTCAGTACATTTTCCCACAGATACTTATTTTTCATTCAGTTCTGTACTGTATGAAAATCTGTTGTGTGATGCACCTCTGTTAATATCAAGTCTCCATCCATTTGTCAAACTTACACCGTGATGCTCTATGATGCAGCTCAAGTGCAGATTGATTTGACCGTCGTTACCACGCTGCAACTTTGACAAAGATTTACACGGACTTGATGCTCAAGCCCATTTCTCAAGTAGCACGATTAACTGCCCAAGCTGACCAATCAGCGGTGAGGGTCAAGTCCGACCGTCATTTTTTACGATAATTGCCTTTGGGGGGACTTTACTAAAACTGTGTCTTGTATTGTGTTTGAGACATGAAAGTGTAGGAGACGTTGCTGAAAACCAAATGAGCCATCAGCCTGAGAAGAACAGGAGAGCTTTATGAAAGTGTGAATAGTGTTTAAGGGGTCTGAGTGGTGGGAGAGATGTGTGTGTGTGTGTGTGTGNTGTGTGTGTGTGTGTGTGTGTGTGTGTGTGGGGGGGGGGCGGTGTTAGGTCACGCTCGAACATTTGACCCTTGACCTGACAAGACCTCAGGGCTATTTCTCGTTTCTGCTGACCACATCTGACGCACCAGTGACACTGAAACACGTGAGCTTGTTTTTCTGCATCGTTTTTCATCATTCGTCAACTGAAGACAGTTTGTCCACAGGCTGCTCGCCTCCACATTTGTTCCTCTACCACAGAAATCCTGAGGTTTGTGTGGATAACAGCAAGAGTGAAATATTTCTAAGCTCATGCATGACTCATTATTCATACAGACGGACGGACAAAGTCTTTCCTGCCTGCTTCGTGTCGGAGGTACAAACACTGACTTGCCGTTGACTCACCTCCTCTAAATGCAGGCTTCACACCTGCTCAGCAGCGTCATCCCAGACACTGAAGCATAAATCAAAGCTTTTCATATCATCGCTGACGGAGGTGATTTTACAAGCATCTCACTCTTTTATCGCTCTCACACCTGAGGCAAGTTCGTCTGTCATCGTGGAATTCAACACCAAAGACGACACACCTGAGGTCAGGATATCTGAGAAAACCCCCCGATAAGTTAGAGTCAGTGCGTCAGTGTTGAATAATCTTTGGGGCATTTATGGCGTGAGATCAGAAAACTGTACACAACACAAAGCAGGGGTTTGACTTGAGGCTCGTTTGTTTTGTGCGTCCCTCACGGCTCCTGTTCTCCAACCTGCCCTTCCTTCCCCTCGGCTAAAATTGGCCTTAGTGGCAGCTGTGGGGTTTCAGCGTGGGTGATGGAACCACAAACCTCTTACAAAGCTTCTTTTTCATTGTGGCAACATAAGCTGTTGTATTGCGGTTCACACAATGGAAAATGAAATCACTGCCCAAGACGACACAAAGAGCAGATTTATTTCGGGATATATTGTTTCTAAAAACAACAGAGTAGTCCGTTGCTGTGACCACACATGTGGCCCCTGCTGGTCCGTCCTCTCCTCTGTTTCTCTCCACTGGAGGTAAAATATGAGATTTATTTCTCGAGTGCTGCTCTCATTGAGGTCAATATTTTGGCTTCTTAGGGTTCTTCAAATTACCTTCTCTTTTAACATCTTTGTTTTGTTTATGGGTAAAAGAATCTGGAAATGTTTTACATCCAATATTGGAAAAGTTAAGTGAGTGTTTGGCCAATTTCAGGTTGTGCAACAAGCTGTAAACAGAATATTTCCAAATGACTGTAGTTAGCGTGTTGTACAGATTCTGTTTGACTCAGTAAACACTTTAATTCGGCGTTGTTTTTCTGACCACCTCGGATGTTCAAGATCAATTGTCACTCTCCTTTTAACTCTGCCAACGGTGGTTGATCACATGGTCTCATTCGGGGTCAGAAGTGAAACTGGAAACACATAAATGATATTCAGAGAGAACTGAAAAAGGCTGAACAAGCATTCTCTTCCAACAAGCAGAAGAGAACTGCAGATTTGGGTGATTTCAAACAACCTCTCATTTTATTCAATCTGGTGTTGTAAAACATTTTGAGGCTTTTTTACTTAAATAAATAAAATACAAAATGCTCTGTATTCCGAGCTGAACAGCTCAATAATAAACTCAATACATCACTTTCACACAGCATGGGTTTGCCAATATAATCCTTTATAGCTGAGACAGAAGCATTCACTCCCGATATATTAACTCATGCTGCACAGCCATCGCACACATTTTGTATCTGTGATTTTAAAACTCCATCTAATGTTTGACCGAGTAAATTAACGTCATACAAGATGCTACAACTGGAGAACTGGCCGAACACTTTGCCTACACACAAGGTGCTGACGTCAACTGTTGCGTTATCAACTATCTATGTGACAATTAGTGCTTCCAGTGAAGATTTACAGCAGGGAAGAACACAGACCGAGTCCCAGACTGTCTCCAAATATCGTCTGCCAAAGACGACGATATGGATCCTAATCATCCTGCGTCTCCCACAGCAGCATCAGTTACGTGATGCCGTAAATGAGCTTTAGCAGGAAACAAGCTATTAAACCACCTCCCATCTCTCAAAAGGTCATCAGGGAGTCTTTGGCTTGGCAGCAGGTCACTGAAACTAATCTATCACGCTTTCTCTGAGATCTGGTTCTAAAGGGTATAGTTCACGCGATGTTCCGTTCCCACTTCTTCGTCTTCAGGTGAATAGTTTGTGTTTTATTTGCCGTGTTTTTATATTTTCCAATATTCCAGTACGTCCATGTTGCAGATTCAGCTCATGTGAAAGACGTGGTATGGAAGGATCTAGAAAGTGAGGATGTGGCGGTCGGTGGTGTTTGGACTTTAAAGCAGAAAGAGTTTGTGTAGCGTTATAAATAGTTTTGCTTTTGGTGATATGACCTTTATGTGACCATCCAACCGAAGCCTTGTCAAACGTAGAATTTCTGGATTCAGTGAGGTGTCTTCAGATCCATTATACTGAATAGTTCAAAATGTATGACTGTCGTATATGAGACACAGTCAGTCAGAGTCTATTGAACAATAAGTGTAAATTATGTCTATTCTTATCGACCACTTTCCTTTGTTGACCATTATTCACACTTGTTCCGCTCTGAACGTGACCCTGAGGACACTGGGACCAAACAGCTTCACCACATAAGCTCTTTCATCAAAGAGGCATTCACTGCCGCGTGCACAGTAATTCATTTCTCTCAGTGACTGCTGCACAGCTTTATTAGCCTCTTGATCACGACCCCGGGGTTGTGCACAGCGGTGTCCAGCAGTCAAGTCACAGAGACGCTCTCTGTTTCCCCACGGACAGAGACCCCTATTTCTGTCCTTGACCCACACAGCCCACCATTCACTTTTAATAAGGGGTGGAGGTGGCGGGAGGGTGGAGTACACGTCGCTGCTGCTGCCGGCCAGCTCCCTCTAAACAGGAAGACCTTTCGGGCCTGATAACCTTGGCCTCAGTGTTTCTTCCGCCTCCAGCAACAGGCAAACAACAACAGTGAATAACCTGCATTTTGTCGCCAGAATAGAGCAGCGGCTTGTTTTTGATTTTCTTATTTTCCACCCAATAATCCAGTCAATGTGCGTGAGCGAGCACAACATGCACACACAAACACACAAACTGACTTCAGCTGAAGCGAGGCGAGTCTGGACGTGTGTGTGGACGTGTGAGAGCAGCGTGTTTGCACAGTGAATTTATTTTTCCCAGCGAAAGCGAGGGAGGTAATATCAACGCAGAGCGCTCGGTCTTACCAGACAGCAGAGGAGAGGCATTGATTTATTTATACTTTGTGGTATTTAATTCACCCACATGCATATTGAATGGGCTTTGGATGCATCGTTACAGAAGATGGATCTTGACACGAGGATATAAAATAAAGAATCAACAATCAACTCGTTGTTTTGCTTTTAATTAAAATGTCCAGAAGTTTTTTTAATAAGCCTCCATTCAGCATGAAGTCGACACCGTCAGCCATTGTTCTTCAACTTTGAAGCATTCAGCCCTTAATTGGCAATTATGTCTGGTTGGCTGGCGTCACCACAGCCTTAAGAAGAAGAAGAAGAAGAAGCAAAAGGGGGAGAATCTGGACAGTCCCAGTTTGTCTCTCTTTCATTCATTTAACAGATTTTCATTTTGCTCGCTTTGTTAAAATCATCTTTTTATAGAAAGACACACTTGATGGATTAAATGGCCATAAAACATGAAGGCTTTGGTTCAAGAAGAAAAGATTTGCTTTAACTTCACAAGACTGGGTTAATGATGCCGATGTTTCTGGGCAGTGCAGCCTCTTCCCCCGCAGCCCCAATGTCATCCCAGTTGTCTTATTTAATTTGATTAGAGAGACGTTTCTTTTCATTCTGGTTAAGACCTCTAGGTGCACGTGTCACTTCAGCGTCCTATGAATCTTTGTCCTAATGAGGCTCTAAGCTGATTCACGCGATGTGGAAGTTACACATCTCAGGATGAACAGCGTCTGTGTCTAAGCTGCAAACTGCTGCATTATTTTAGTTTGAACACAGTGAGTGTGAGGCAGAGCGAGGGTTGAAAAGGTTGACGTATTTGGGCCACAAAGTTCAGCCTCGAAATGGCAGCGCCTGGAGTTAGTTGACATGGTAAAGGTGCAATAATGGGCTTCAGTTGACTACTGTTCATTTTTTCCCCCAGGGTGCAGTATGAATTATTAACAAAGTCTTAGAATAGAAATGCTAGTAAACAACTCAGTGTGTTTTAAATAACCCAGGGAGGCGCTGCCCTTTTTGCATGCGAGGGATAAATCAGGGCGTATTTTGGTTAGCATGTGCAAACAGGTGCGGGCTCGCAGGCTGCATGAAAAGGGTCTGTTTAAGGGATATTATTTCAAAAACAAATAAAATACTTAAATGGTGCAGATTTCAGCGGCGGCTCAGAGTGCGGTAAATCCCTCAGATGATCCCGGCACAAAGTTTCACAGAAGCCGCGCGTCTGTGTGCGAGGACGTCATCTCGGCTTCAGACTTGTTGACCTTTGATGTGCAGGAAAGAAAACCATAATTATGCACTTTTTCCCCAGCCTCTCCCAGGGCGCAGACAATTACAGCTAATGAAGTCAGCCATATTTGGAAGGCACAGCGACAAGAGACAACCTGATTGTGCTAATTACACGTACCTTCTCTGGCTAATTTAGCGAGCCACCGGGAAGCTCTTTTGTTCCGAGCATGTGCACTGATAGGTTTATTATCTAATCTCAGAGGCTATTGACGCCCCCGTGCACCCACTCAGCTTTATGTTACTGATGAGCCAAGTGTTTTAACCCTGAGGTTGACTGTTGATGATGCAGGGTATTGGAAAAGTGTCGGGGTTCTGCACAGGCCATGTTAAATAGCCTGTGAGTCTAAAAAAAAAATGAAACAGAAAATTAACCGTGAACCATTTAAACGACGAATTAAGCAATTGATCAAGGCAAAGAGTCAAACGTTCTCCGACACCAGCCTCTTTGATTTAAAGTTTTCTGCCTTTCTGTTTCTTATCATTTATCTCGACAAGCGAGGTCATGATTTCAGCCCAGTGTGTGTGTTGTTTGGTTTGATGGCAGGATGTGGTTTGGAAAGAAAGAACCTATTTATTTTTCATGCTGATCTGGATTGGGGTGCAGAATTTTTTTCACTTTCATTGATTTCTTAGAGAATAATTCATGGATCTTGATGAAAAAATAAATCAGGCATGTTTATGGGACTGATATTTATGAGTATGTGCAATTTGGTGCAGATCCAGATATATAATTTATTATGAATTTAAATGTTATTTCATTAGAGGACTGGGGCCTAAACTTAGTGAAGGTATATGTGCTCTACTGAGCCCATTCCAGTTTGAATATATTATTACAATTGTAATTAAATAGATAATATAGCCTCCTATATAAATCAATAAAGATCTAAAACTCTTAGACACAGAAAAATAGTATTATAAAAGTCATTGATTTGTTTTGGACTGAAACTAAAACTGTGCGAAGATTGTGAAGACTTTTCAGCTGAGCCTTTTTTTTGTTTTTTTTTATGTAGTTCAAGGATTTCATCTTCCATTACATTTGTCTATTTTCCCAGTAAACACTTGTTCTCTAACAAGCCTACCTTCTCTCACGGTGCTTATGGGAGTCTTTGTTTACGATGCTACACTGCCAGTTGTCAGACGGAGCTACGTTTCCCACCCGGGGGGCATCACAATCACTGCTCCCCCAAGATTACGTATCACAGCCTGGTGTTACACCTATCTCTCTACCCCCTCATGTGTTCTTATGGTGTCATCCATAATTGAATCCATCAACAGTTTTCTCTCCGACATCTAAACATATGGCGAGGGATCCCCCCCCACACACACACCTCCTCCCTTTCCTCCCTCCCTCCCTTCGTCCCTGCTCATCCGGCTGACTCTCACCAGCCCTCTCACTATCTCCCCTCTCATTGTTCAGTCCCGTTCCGCCTGAGTAAACGACGCCCCCCCCTCCCCTTCCACCTTCCCGCCGCCATTTGAGGATTATGGTCTAGACGGACCACGCTGATTGGCTGTCACACTCAGCGGTGTCCCCCGATTGGAGAGAGATACATATAGGGGCAGGCTGACTGATCTGTTTGAAAGGTGAGAGATGGTGACAGGCCGGTAGAGGTGCACACTTACAACAGAGAGACACACAGGGACATCTATACCACTGCTTTACAGAAGGTAAGCTGTAGTGGTTTTATTTCTGATGTGCTTTCGTCTTTCTATTTGTTTATGAAAAGTAAAAAAGGGGGTTGACTCTCGTCATGTTTATTCTTTAATCATTTGCTACCTTAACCAATGTGCATGTTCTTGTATCAAGAGCACAGAGTCAAAGTCTGGGTCACGGTGTGCAATGATTCAGGCCTGCGAGTTGTAGGTCAGGATGTTGCCTCTGGGTTTTCTGTCTGCCTTCAGCGGAGGACGGTTAGTCAGGTCACATGATGCGGGCTCTTAAACAGATGAGAGCGGAAAGAGAGGAGGTGGAGGAGGAGGAAGATGAAAGAGTGTGTGATTAATGCTGCACAGAAGAAAGTAGGAGTGATGACAAAGCTCGGAGGAGAAAGCGAACTTGATAGAATTCAAGTCGAAGGATAGAAAAAAAACTTGAAAGAGAAAGATTCGAAGAGTGAGGAGAGAAGAAGTGGCACAATCGTCTGTTTTACAGCTGTCACGAGTTGGATCCTGTCTCATGCGTAGACCATATGGGACCCTGGCCTGTCATCCAAAACTAGGTCACATGACCCATAATTAAACAAAGTGCAGCATGAAAAACACGAGAGAGGACGACAGAGAGAAAGAGAAATACAAAAAGTATTGATGTCATTTACTGTGATTTATATTCATTAACACATTTTTAATGCTTCTGATAGTGTCAGTTGACGGTGGGAAATTAGAATATGTGAATATCTGGTGCCAAGATAAATGATGAACAAGAGTGGGGATAAATCTTTGATGGATGAGATGGCCATACATCAAATGATTTAAGTGATGAGCTCTGCAAGGTCCTTTGTCGTTAAGCTCAACTACACATTTGCTGATTTCTATCCCTCATCTCATCGTTGTTCTCTCTGTCTCCCCGCAGCTGTCCATGAAAGAAGCCGGAGATGGCCTCCACGCTCAGATGAATTCCATGATGGGAGCCCTCCAGGAACTCAAGCTCCTCCAAGTTCAGACAGCTCTCGACAACCTCGACATCTCAGGTCGGCCCATTAACCGAGGGTTGCCACATCCTGCTCCATCAGCTGCTCCTTACCCATCGGCTGCAGAAACTCCAGCTTCAGAAAAGGATAACCGGTCCTGCTTCAGCCAGAGACTGCCAGAGGAGCCCAGCCCAAGTCCTATGTCAAGTCCAAGGATGTCTTTGGAGAGCAGAAACACCTTCATCAGGGAGGGCCCAAGCAGAAGCAGCATGGGAACCTCGTCTTCCTCAGCGTCCAGTCTGCAGAGTGAGGGTGAGAGAAACTCAATAACAGCAAGAAATGAGAATGACCTTGAGTCAATACCCAAACGTTGGTCAGGATACATGGCCCCCCAAGTGGACTTCTATGGACCAATGGTGGGAAACCCCCCACCAGAGCCCTGCCCTCACCCACAGGCTCAGGTTCAGGCTCAGGTTCAGGCTCATGCTCAGGCAGTGGATCTGCCTGGCATCCTGTACAGCCTCTCCAGGGAGGGCCCTTCGCTAGACAGCGACTACTCCCAGGACAGTACAGATGACCCCAGCGACTGGACCTCCTCTCTCATGAGCCGTAGCCGCAACCGTCAACCCTTAGTGCTGGGCGACAACGTCTTCGCCGACCTGGTGGGTAACTGGCTGGACCTGCCCGAGGTGGAGAGGGAGGAGGTGGAAGAAGAGGAGAGGAGGAGAGAGGAGAGGACAGCAGATGGTGGAGCAGACAGACCGGACACCCCAGCTCACCCTCTCCGCCTCAGCCGGTCACAGGAGATCTGCAGGAAGTTCTCGCTCACCACGAACATCTTCAAGAAGTTCCTGCGCAGCGTTCGGCCAGACAGGGACAAGCTGCTCAAGGAGAGGCCTGGCTGGATGGCCCCCGAGCTGCCAGAGGGCGACCTCTTCAAAAGACCCAAAAAAGTGGTTCCTAAGAATTCAAAAGGCAGCTTCTACCTGCCGTTCTGGGCAAACGGACAGCAGAGCAAAGGCAGGCCGTGTCCACATTCAGCAGAAGCAGAGAGGAACCACCAACATCACTTCCCCCACTTTTGCCAGCAGCCATTTGCAGGGATTTATTTAGACAGGAGACAGCCAGAGACTGGTCTGGACAAAATGCAGCCCTTGTTTGACTACAACACAGCTGTGTGGGTCTGAGAGTCTCAGGCCAACGCAGCGCCAATAAGGCCAGACTGAGTGAGTGACAGGTGCTGCGGAAATTTGGCTGAGCTGGAGCGGAATGAATGAATGACTGAATGGACAACTGTGAATCTTGGATACAGTTATCTTCCAAAATTGAACCGATGGACTTCACACCCGCAACATGACTGTGCTGCGACTGAGAGATTATCAGGGCAACACTTTGTCTGACAATCCTTAAAACCTCAACCTCGTATGCTGTGTATGTCTGAGCGAGTGAGTGTGAGCTGGAGAGCGACTGAAACAGAGAGAAAGTCTTTGATGCAAGTTTTGTATTATTCAATGTTTTTCATTTTGTGTGTATGCATGTCTGACTGGTTCTCTGTCTTAAAAAAACGGTACGTAGAGGAGGACGTGTTTCTCAGAATGTCGCCCTCATTATGGTTCTTTATAAAAGACGTCCACAGACTTTCACTTCTATGCGACAGGACACACGCCCATATCTCACTTCTTTGCATCTATGAATAGAAACACCAACTGTTGGATTGCATGGTTACTGTTTTTATAGTTGATGCTACAAACAGCTGTTACCGAACGCACTGCCACAAAACACCCCCCCTTTTGTTTCCAGGCTACGATGCTCTGGAAACTCAGGTTAAACTCAGCCCCTCGGTCTCGTTCACTTTGCTCAGGGATTAAATGCAACGCAGGAGGAAGCTCTGGGACGCCGCCACATTTAAATGGGGTTTATCTAATTTTACACAGTAAGACAAAACAGCAACACAGTGCATGCCTCGTCCAGAGATTGCACATTCAACTCTGAGAGTTGTCCCTAGTGATCAGCAGAGTTTTTAGAAACACTTTCTTTATTCTCGCCGCCGTGTAGACGCAGCACATTTTGAGCAAACTGTCAGACCGCTTGGTTTGTTATGCAGAGAGAGGAGGGGTGAAGATGGCACAGCCAACCACGAGAACCGACTGACCGCCATCTGGTACCAGGACGTTATGTAAAGCTTGTTCCACCAAACGCAGGAAGAAGATGCTAAACAGCTACAGTTAATCCCGAAGCTCTGCAGATGAACCGAACTACAGTGATTGTGTTACATACTGTATAAACTAAGGTGATGAGACGGTTGAGAGTGGAGGTTAAGATCCACTGTCTCTTCATGAGTAAATGTACAGAACATTGTACATACTTGCCATCAAGCAACCGGCAGCAATAACAGAGACATTTCTGTAATATCTGATCGCATGGTTTTCATTATTCTCCACAGATAAATGTGTGTTGCAGTTACATTACAGTTCTAACATAACATGTGAACAAAGCCACCACACTTGTACTTAAACCACAGACTGATGAGTTGATCTTTAATCTACAATTTCTATTCTGTTGTATCATAATAATCTGTTTCAGTGTTCTTTTCATGTCGAGCGGTTTCAGAACAGTTAAAAACAAACTTCCTCCACGAGTTCATATAAAAAAAAAATCAGGATTCCCTCAGGATTACAGATGACACTGCTTTTTTATTGAGGATCACTGTTACGCAAGGACAATCTGATACATCATCATGTTGTAATTTACAAAAGAAAAACAGTCAAGTTCACTCAAGTTTGAAATGTGATGCTGGACCAATCAACTTAGTCTGCAGGGATTAGGCTTTGGGTCTTTCGAGTGTCTTGGTCAGTCCATCCATATGGTGTCGTCTAAGTATTCAGGTCAATACATACCGCATATTCAGAGGGTCCGACACACACACACACACACGCACACTTTCTGCTGGGACAGTTGTGCTATGAGACACAGTCTGAGAAAACATATTACACAGTATGTGTATGTAAACAATACATTTATTTCCTCCTATTTACATTTGTCTAAGTGTGTTTAAAGCACTGTTGTTGATATTTTTTCATCAGGGTTCTGCGAACCTTCAGTAGTGATTCTGTGTCGTGTGCACTGTAAAACTGACTCTTTGTTAATTAAATGTGTTTTCAGAAAGAAATGTCACTGTATGTCTTGTGTTAATGTTTCTTTATATGTGAAACAACATGGAAGTTGAAGCTGAAACTTCCCATCAAGCATCTGGCAAATTGAATCCAGATTTATGAAACGGGCTGGGCAACATGGTTGAAATCAATTTCTCGATATTAATTAGAATGGCACTCGGAGAATATAACTCCGCCAAGGCTCAACAGTCCCCTTTAATTCTGCATGCCTTATAATGCATCTTAGAGAGAGTGATAGAGAGAAATCCCTCGATACCCTGGATAACCCGTTGCCTGCATCTGCTCCAAAAATTGAACAGATTCTTTCTTGGCCAGTGTCCCATCCTTCCACCAAGTTTCATGGAAATCCGTTCAGTAGTTTATGTAATGTTAGTTTGTGTAATCCTGCAGAATCCAGAAAAACAAAGAGTCCGACCAACAAACAAAACCAGACAGCGGCGAAAACAACATCTCTTTGGCAGAGGTAAAAAAAAGAAACATTCTTGAAATCTATACAGATCTTAACATAGCAAACTCACATGTCAAGTTAATGTCCAGTGCACAAACCAAATGAATACATGAAAGAAAAATCTTTAAAAAGGCAAATTAAGTTTCTTGATCCCTTTTTGTCATTTAGTATAAAAACTAAACAATTTCCAGACAGAAAGGAAAAATAAGAGACGCTGGCATCGAGCTTTTGCTTTCAGCTCAGAGCTCTTAGTGTGATTTGTCTCTATTCTGCATCCTCACAACAGCAAAGTGCTGCTGCATGACTGACGGGTTCACTGAGGGCAAAGCTGGCGACTCACTCCCTGCGTGTGCATAAACTGTGCTCTGAATTGATTCTAAATCTGGAGCACAGCCTCCATCAGAGTCTTCAATAAATAAACAAAAGCCTGAACTCTGCAGTTCAACAGAACTGCTTCATGATGCTCAAACCCTGAGATGCTTGTTCAGAGAAACACATCAGACGAGTCAGTTCATCTTTCTGTCCCCGAGCACTTTTTTCCCCAGTAAAGCAAGTAATACCTACACTGCTCTGTGGAGACACATTATTATAAAATCATATTGTGGCTCCTAATAGAGTTTCAACTATTAGTTGGATAAAACAAGACATTTAAAGATCTTGATCATTGGGTGAAGCGCAAGACTATTCTCTGATTTAGCCCGTAAGTTGTATCCTGACTTTACTGTTGGCGTGGAAAATTATTTAAGGTTTAATCAGTTAATGAAACAGATTGATTAATTAACTTAAAGATGCTTTTTAAATGAAGTCTTCCCTGTTGTGGTTCATAAGGTTTGACGAAAGAGATGTTGGTGTAACATGACTATAATGAAAGCACATTTAATTTCACATCAAGTGATCAAATAATCAATTATCTCAAAATAAGTCATTTATCAATTATTCATGGCAAAATCTTCCAACTTATCTTCTAACATCATCTAATGTAAAGAACAACAGTTTTTATGTTAAAATAAAGTCTTAAATATTGCTGAAAAATAAGCAAATAGAAGATGTCAGAGGGAATTTTAAAAAACTAACATTCACTCAATATTTTATTTCAATCCTTGTTCATAGTCTGAACCCCATGAAAGTTCACAGTGACGGTTAATGTGCTGCCAAATGTGTTTCAATCAATAATCCTGTATTCTAACTTTACATAACACTGTACACACCGGTCACTGAGCATCCTAGATTAAAAAAAAGCTGAGCTAAGAATAATAATAATATAATAATAATAAGAATAATCAGTGTGTGTGTGTGTGTGAGAGTGTGTGTGTGTGTGTGTGTGTGTGGACATTCTGGCCCTCACAACTTAAGTTAGAAGGTTGAGACTTGATTTTAAGGTTCTGGTTAGAATAAGGTTTAGATTAGGAAGTGAAAGTTCTCTCGATGACTCCCCCGACTTATTCCAGTGAGGGTCAGTCATTACGTTGTGATGGTTAAGGTTATGACAAAACGGTTGATAATGTATTTGATCAATCCTCAGTAAGAGAGAAGTACGAGCATGAGTGTGCATGGGTAAAGGGGGGAGAGAGAGGGAGAGCGAGAGAGAGACAGCTGCAGTCCCCTCTCTTCTTCCTCAGTTTCCCTTGGGATCCCAGCAGCGGACTGTCTGACCACCATCACCACCACCTCCTCCTCCCTCTCCTCCCCGTCTCCCTCCCCGTCTCCCTCCCCCCTCCTCTCCAGGCCCAGCTAGTCAGCTGTCGCTCTCTCACAGCCTCACAACACCACTCCCACCCCAAATCTGGGGCACGCAAAGCCCGAGCGTCACAGTTCAAGCAACTTCAAAAGTCGTAGCAGGCTCGAACACAGAGACCGGGCCCGGGTACGATTCATCAGTTAACTGTGACTTATTGACCGGACACAGTGATGAGGCTAATGTGATGATCATTTATAAAAAGGGATCATTGTATGAGTGAGTGGAGGGAACAGGGACGTCTATGAAGTTCACGAGGATGCATTTATGCGTGTGCATGTCTGTTTCTGTGACCCCTCTGGATCCCACTGTGAGCTGATTTCCTGCACAGCGCTCATCTTTCAATAAGTCCTCAGCTGTAGCCACACGGCTCTACCTTGGCCTTCAGGAATGTGCTCGCGTTTCACTTTTTATAATCGTCAGCAAGTAAAATTCCAGAGTCGTCAGTCAGCGTGGCTTTGTGCGAAGAAGTTCCCACAAGAAACACGAGACGTCTTCACATACACACACTCGCACATGCTAAAGCTAGCCAAACCAGGGGTCATGTGCACTAGCACATAAACACCCCCACTTTTGGAAAATGGAAGGCTGCGTCTCGAAGCCACAGAGCCGAGCCAGATTTGGCAGAGAGATAAATGCAAGAGTTAAATCTAGGGCAAATTATTGGGATTTAACATCTGGCCGCTTTGCAGTGCAACGCTTATCGTACAGGATAAGTCTCACACTCTCTTGTTCCGCTAATGCATGCAAAGTGGAACTTCACAGGCACGAAACCATGCTGCATTAAACAGGCTTGTAATGAGGTGAAAGGGGCAAAGCATCACACACACAACTGCTTCAGAAACTTCAGTGCTCGCTGTGTTCTCTGTGTTAATAATGAACATGTGCTCATTTGTCTTCTTCTTAATTAAGGTAGAAACTGAGGATGTTGCTCAAATGAAACAAGAATACTTGAGTTGTGATAAATAATTGCAGGCATTTTTCACACTCTATTAAAATTCTTTATAATGAATTGAATGGGCGGCATGGTGGTGTAGCGGTTTGCACCGTCGCCTCACAGAAAGAAGGTTTGAATCACAGTTTGGACGGGGGGGGTGGTGGTGGTACTCGAGCTTCAGGCAGATCAGTGTTGGGTTAATTGGAGAATAACCTCCATAACCTTCATCGTGAGGTTGAACCACTGATTCGGAAACAGAATTCAGACAAACGACAAAACTCTACGATCATCAACTGACAGACATGAAAGGATAATACTGAACCATCACTGCTTAAAGTGATATTGTAAAGTGCACAGGTTCTTTTCCATCTTGCAGTTTTAACTCAAGCATTAAATAAAAGTGCTGTAAGTACAGGAGACCCACCATGTGTCCTGCTGCCATTTAATTGTAAGTGTTGATTTACTGAATGTTCTCTAACGTTCTCCACCAGAGGGACGTTTTTCTGAACATGGATTTCATGTGAAAACATGACTACAGCTTTTCATTTTCCCATCTTACTCCTCATCATGTCTTTTCTTTTTCTGGTCCGACTGAAACATGACGCTCCCTGCAGACCACCCTCCTCTGAAGCCATGATTGATGTCTTTACGCGCTCTGACAGTCCAACCTAACACACAGGAATGTTTCCACACTTTGATCTCCGTCCTGCCCGCCAGTCTTTTGTGAATCTGAGGAATTCAACGTGTATTTGTACGAATACAGTGTGATGTTGCTCCAGAGTCTCTGACTCCACCACAGACTGAGCCGAGCTGCTGCTGCTGCTGCTGTTGTTTCAGGGCTGTCGGCTCGGACTCCTGCTGAGCTCTGCACATAATCTTACTGGGGGGTCAAATCCGAAACAGTGATGGTTTGATCCTGTGAATATAGAGTTGATTTTTATACTGGTGTGTAAACCACCATCTATAGGTTTTTTGATTTAATAAAGCTATAGATGTGACAACAACAAGTTTGATAATATTGGGATTAGAGCTCCACTGATATGGATTTTTGGAGGCTGATAAAGATACAGATAAAAGAGAGAAATCATTATGTCGACAA